TGGTAATCTCTTGTTTTTATTTTTTGAATATGTTTTTTTGAAAGACTCAGAAAATATGCCATCATTTATTGCACATTTGTTGGCATTGCTGTATGTTGTATAAGCAATGTCTTCTGGGAGTTTGTCTCAAGGTTTACAATTCTAGAATTGATGATTTGAACATACTCTTCTTTCAAGAAGGCCTTTATTCTTTAATCATCAAGAAGCTCTCCCCAGATTGGATCATCATTACACCTTTCTCTCCAGAGATGGAATTTCTTTTGACAATACTAGAGAGTCTACTCCCATGGGTTTGAGTTGATTGAAGTCACCTGTAAAGACAATTTGTAGAATGCCATACAAATTATTTGATGGCTTGTCACATAATCAGTTCATATACTTACTCAATGTTTCAATTTGTTTGATGCTAAAAGCAAAAGATACCTTGTCAACAGTGAGTAGGCAAGTCTCATTTACCTGCTGTAACATTGGATCTGTCACAATTAGTAAGATAGAAAGCTTTACTATGTGTTGTTTCCCCATTGATATTAACTGCTGCTGTTCCAATATTCACTGCTGCTGTTCCTGTCATGCCTGTGATAGCCAGAGTTCTGTTGGAAAAGTTCACTTCTAATTCTTTGCAGAACATCTTACAATAATGTCAAACACAATTTCCAGTACCACCAGCCTAGAAAACAGATGAACTGCTCTTTGTTGCCTTGAGATCTTGAATATATTTGTTGTGGCAATTACCAATTCATCTTCTTTTGGAATATCTTTTTCTTCATTGTTCAGGTGAATATAGAGATATTATATGAAATTTTGAAACAAAAGCAGCAACAATCTGGCTAAATGCATTTTCTTGGTCTTTGTCCTTGTTCAAATTCAACTTCGTATCATGTCTGATATTTTCCTAGACTCCAGTAAATGTGAAGCTTTTTCATTGCATTTGCATGATCAGTCTCATGGGTGACCACATCAAAGGTTTTGTGTAGAACTTGATACAAAACACTTCTTGGAAGCTCATCAGGTTTTATATTTTGGTTGAGATTGTGTATAATGTCTGTAGAAAAAACAAAGTTACCTGAACCTGAGTTCTGAAGTGCAATTCCATTTGAATGTGGTGGGACTCCTGGTGTTTTCAGCAGTCTTCTTCCACACTTATGGGAACCTTGATAAGCGACATCAGAAGCATTGATTTGCAGCTTATTGAATCTGTCTGTGAACTGAATCTGACCTGGATCATATATCATATCCATATTGTCAACAAAATTTGTCTGAAGCTCATCAAACAAACAAAGACTGCCACTTACTTCATAAGTTTGAAAGCAGTTCCCTCCATGTACAAAAGGATTTTGTGCACTAACTTGTTCTAGTACTAGAGCCTCTTTTGATCCCCCTGAATTAAAACTGCCATAGCAATCTTGGGCACTTTTCAGCAGTTTTTGATGATTCAGCTTCATTTCCCCTGAATTTTGTTCTGTCTGGAGTTTTTGAATCTGCCTGGAGTTCTTTTTTTTGTATTCCTGAATGAAAAAAGAATCATTGCTGTTTTAGCATATTTTTCCATTGCAAACAAGTTGTGATCAGTATCTTTTGGATGATTGATGTTACCATCAATGTGGATGCCTCCAAAGCTTTCACGGTTCCCATTTTCAAGTTTTTTTGCAGGGTGTGGAGTTGACGACCAATCAATTGATTCTTTTTTCTTTTGTTTTGACAAAGCCAGAGAAAAGTACATAAAAAGAAACATCTTCAGGTTTGCCTGGTGTGCCATTTGCAACATGAGATTTAAGAAATGGAATGTGTTTGTTTTGCTGAACTGTATTGGAATCCAAAACAATTTCCTCAATTGTCTCTCTCTCAAGACAATCAAGACCAAGAAATTCAAATTCATGAGAATAGAAGTGGAAACAAGACCCATTATTTTGAAGGAGATAGCTTGCCATGGGACCAGAAACAATGTGTGACTTTATGTTTAAAGTGACAGCTCCCATCAAAGCATGAACTCCTTGTTTGCAAATTGCAACATTCCACTTAGTATTGTCTTCCTCACTGTTGTAAACTTCTTGTTGAAGTTTGTTTAACATATGTTTCCCTGTACTAGTATACACTTGTTCAGAGTCTTTTTTGTTGGTTGACTTTGACATTTAATAGGTCATAATTTATCAAGTTCTGGGAATGTGATTCTCTTTCACCATGTAAAAATAGTAACCAGTTTGATTTTAGAATTACCAATCATGACAATGACTCCTCATTGATGTAGTAGTCGTTGGCCCATTTGCTGGTGACTAAATGTTGTTGTCAAGGCTTTCAATGTTGGTGTTGGTGTTGGTGTTGGTGTTGGTGTTGGTGTTGGTGTTGGTGTTGGTGTTGG